ACCAAGTTTGATGACAATTGAGTCAAAATTGTGAACCCCAAGAGTGTTAACAAGGTTTTTCTATTTTTAGCTCCGGTGACCTACTTTTTCATCCGAGATGACCGATGTTCGAACTCATCCGAGCTATCACCTAGACAAGCATCCTGACCAAGTTTGATGATGATTGAGGCAAAATTGTGACCTCTAGAGTGTTAACATGGTTTTTCTATTTTTAGCTCCTGTGACCTATTTTTCATCCGAGATGACCGATGTTCGAACTCATCCGAGCTATCACCTAGACAAGCATCCTGACCAAGTTTGATGATGATTGAGGCAAAATTGTGACCTCTAGTGTTAAAATGGCTTTTCTATTTTTAGCTCCTGTGACCTAGTTTTTCATCCGAGATGACCCATGTTCGAACTCATCCGAGCTTCACCTAGACAAGCATCTTGACCAAGTTTGATGATGACTGATGCAAAAATGTGACCGCTAGAATGTTAGCAAGGTTTTTCTATTTTTAGCTCCGGTGACTAACTTTTTCATCCAAGATGACCCATGTTCGAACTCATCCGAGTTATCACCTAGAGAAGCATCCTGACCAAGTTTGATGATGATTGATGCAAAAATGTGACCGCTAGAGTGTTAACAAGGTTTTTCTATTTTTAGCTCCTGTGAGCTACTTTTTCATCCGAGATGACCCATGTTCGAACTCATCCGAGCTATCACCTAGACAAGCATCTTGACCAAGTTTGATGATGATTGATGCAAGAATGTGACCGCTAGAGTGTTAACAAGGTTTTTCTATTTTTAGCTCCGGTGACCTACTTTTTCATCCGAGATGACCCATGTTCGAACTCATCCGAGCTATCACTTAGACAAACATCCTGACCAAGTTTGATGATGATTGAGGCAAAAATGTGACCTCTAGAGTGTTAACAAGGTTTTTCTATTTTTAGCTCTTGTGACCTAGTTTCTCATCCGAGATGACCCATGTTCGATAAGCATCCTGACCAAGTTTGATGATGATTGAGGCAAAAGTGCGACCGCAAGAGTGTTAACAACTAAATGTGAACGGACGACGGCCGACGGACGACGGACAATTATCGATCCTAAAAGCTCACCCTGAGCATGCTCAGGTGAGCTAAAAAATTGAAATTTTTACTAATTCAAGGGCAATAACTCTAAAAATACTAAATATATCCACATGAAAATACCCAAGTGCACAACTACACATGCTGATAAACATGCCCGTAAGGTTTCATGACTCTAGATCAAATATTTTTCGAGTTACATGCGACGCAAGTACAAAGTTGTAAATTATTTACTAAATCAAGGGCAATTACTCTTAAAATACTATAAATATCCACACAAAAATACCCAGGTGCACAACTTCACATGCTGATCAACATTCATTCCTGTAAGGTTTCATGACTCTAGGTTGATTACGTACTGAGTTACATGCGACACAAGTTGAAAATTGCAAATTATTACTAAGTCAAGTCAAGGGCAATAACTCTAAAAATACTAAATATATCCACACAAAAATACCCAGGAGCACAACTACACATGCAGATCAACATTCATGTAAGGTTTCATGACTCTAGGTCAATTACTTTTTGAGCTATGTGCGACACAAAAAGGGAACGGACGGACGGAAGGACTGGCTGGAGGGGTACTCAATTCTCACTACTTAATAGTGATGGCATCATTTATCCTGAAGGACCAAAAAAAATATAACAACACTGAAGCCACTAGATGTTAACAAGCTCTTTTCTTTTTTTAGCTCCTGTGACTTAGTTTTCATCCGAGATGACCCATGTTGGATCTCATTCTAGCAATTACCTGGACAATCATCCGGACCAAGTTTGATGACAATTGAGTCAAAAATGTGACCACTAGAGTGTTAACAAGGTTTTTCCATTTTTGGGCAGTGTGACCTAGTTTTTGACCCCATGTGACCCATATTCGTACTTGATCTAGAAATCATCAAAACAAACTTTCAGACCAGTTTCCAGGATATTTGGATCAAGACAGTAGCCACTAGAGTGTTAACAAGATTTTCCATTTGTAGCTCCTGTGACCTAGTTTTTCATCTGAGATAATCCAAGTTTGAACTCGTCTGAGCAATTACCTCTAGTTTCTAGACAAACATCCTGACCAAGTTTGGTGATGATTGAGCAGATTTTGCCAGTTTTGTTTGTTTTGGGTTTTACGTCACATCGACACAGTATAGGTCATATCTCGACGTTCTAGCTTTACTGGTGGATGAAGACCTCAGAAGCCCATCTGTGCATTATTTCAGGCACAAACGGGCACCTGAGTAGAACCACCAATTTTTCGTAAGCTAGCTGGATAGCTTCCTCACATGAAAAAATCCAAAGTCCCTGTCGGGATTTGAGCCCACAGCGGTGAGTGGCAAGTTTGAAGTAAACGACCTTAACCACTCAGCCACGGACGCCCCCAATTTGGCCAGTGTGACCTAGTTTTTGACCCCAGGTGCCCCATATTTATACTTGAACTAGAAATAATCAAAACAATCTTTCAAACCAATTTCCAGGATATTTGGATCCAAACAATGGCCACTAGAGTGTTAACAAGATTTTCCTTTTTTAAGCTCCTGTGACCTAGTTTTTCATCCGAGATTAATAAAATCTATCGTTGGGTTAGATAGAGGTTAGGGAAATCCTAACCCGAGGGTGATCGGTTCCATTAGGAATGAGCCTTGGCGTGTTCCCGATTGGAACTGATTGCCCGCGGGGTTGGGATTTCCCTATCCTCTAACTAACCAAATGATTGATTATTTTTCTCACTCACCTCGACAGACAAGAAACAAAATATAAATATCAGTGAAACTACTGCCTACTGGCATAACAACCTAGTTTGTAAGGCGGGGCTTAGGGGCCTGACTTTCTATGGCTGACTAAAGCAATTTTTAAGTCCGCAAGAAATTCTACTAATCCGGTTTATGTGTTAAATATTAAATGAAAATAAATTCAAATCAAAAAGCAAGGTTATCATGATAAAATACATCATCTTTTAAGTCGGAAAATATCATAAAATAAGTGTTTATAAGGAATTCAGTCCAGACTTTAATGGTTGACAAAAGCGTTTACCGTTTGCAAATATTTACTACCTATTCAGTTATCTTGGCCAAATATTAAAGTAAAATGAGATTTGTCATCAAGAAGCATCCTGATCATTACAGAAAACATGGATGTTTTCCAGGCAAAAAGTCATTATTAAATATCCAATTTTATTAAGAATTTTGCGATATTTTAAAGTGTGCTATTTTTAGTAACAGATCAAGAAAAAAGTTGGACCTACAGTAGAGTAGGACTCATTAAAGTGTGAAAGTTAATATCAATTTATTTTGATTCCGTGGACAATTTAATAGATTCACTCACATATTTGATACATTTGGCCCTCATGACGTTTCATTTTTGTCAAAATAGGGGTGAATATTGCTAATGTGTAGGAAAACGTAAAGAGGTGCTGCACATGGAGTGTGAGATAAGCCCATGTGAGGTAAGATTTGCCACACTGCTATATTAAGTAACATTTAGGGCTTTTTCTATCCAGTTGGTGAGAAGACCCATATACAAACTCATCCCAGCAATTACCTAGACAAACATTCTGACAAAGTTTAATGATGATTAAGGCAAAAATGTGACTAGAGTGATAACAAGGAAATGTGGTTGGGCGACAGACAATGGACAAAGGATGACATCCATATGACGTCCTCCGGAGCTAAAAATTTGCCAGATTTTTTTAAATGACATTTTGCGACCAGCAATAGTGTATACAGTTTGAATCCTAACATGAAGCAGAAACATGTTAATTTTATATTTACAAAGAGACTGTGTAGTAATAATCAAAATTTTCAAACCTCAAATTATCAGTTATATTGAAGCATTACAAATAAATGAAAACAATCAATTCCGTTTATTCATATCCCCAATTGCATAATATAAACTAGAAGGGTTTTTGTCCCAAAACTATTTATGGTCACTCATTTGAAGTTTCATTGAAATCCCACCAGTTAAGTGGCTTGACCTGTGAAGGCGGACAAGTTTTCTCTATCTATAGCTCTGACAGCCTTTTTGTGCAGCCAAGCGGAACATGCCGATGATATGCACAACTAGAGAAGGTACTGATCACTCCTGTAAAATTTGGTTGAAATCCCACCAGTTGTTTGACCTTTGAAGGCCGGACAAGATTTTCTATTTTTAGCTCTGGAGACCATTTGGTGCAGCAAAGCAGAATGTGCTGGTGAAGTGCACAACTAGGGATGGTATTGATCACTTCTGTAAAGTTTGGTTGAAATCCAAGTAGTAGTTTGACATTTGAAGGGCGGACAAGGCTTTTGTATTTTTAGCTCTGGCTGCCATTTTGTGCAATGAAGCGGAACGTGCCAGTGACGTGCACAACTAGGATTGGTACTGATCACTCCTGTCAAGTTTGGTTGAAATCCAACCAGTAGTTTGACATGTGAAGGGCTTACAAGCTCAATGCGGACGGAGACAACTGAAAGGACAGACCTTCAAACGGAACAATAATAATGTGGCTACTCTATTGTTCTCTCTATTGTTCTTTTTAGCCACCTAAAAGAAATAGCCATATAAAAAGCATTACGGAATGAATGACATCAAAGAGATAGAACAGTAACCTATTGTCCCCCTAGCCACATTATTACTGTCCTGTGAGAGTGGACAGACGGCGAAGGCAAAAACAATATGTCTCCCTTAAATTTTGGGAGACATAATTGATTTAAGTTTCTCAGTTATAAAAATGTACCCACATATGTTTGTTAAAGTAATTCGTACCTTTAATTTTATAATATGTTCATACTATTTAGCAGTGCTGAAAAAGCTTAAATATAGAAAAGAATCAAAATCAGTTATCATAATTATGTTCTCCACAAATAGGTTTGAAAGCATGCAATAATGACATTACTTCAGTAGGAAAACAATCCTCTATATACTTCATCTTGTTCTAAAAAAGGCAAAATAAATTATAATACCTTTGGTGTTGATTTTGATTGTTCTGGGTTTTCATAAACATTTTCTTCACCAGCATATGTCTTTGTTTTAATAGGAGCAAGTTCTGAAGCATTTTCATACACATCATCTGATAAGAAAAACACAAAAAGGCCATGAATTTCCTACTCTTTTTCAAAGAATAATATTACATTTGTGCTCTTACAGGTAGATAATATTATTATCTATCATTTTCTACTGGATATATGTCTATGAAGATATTTTTCCATTCTATTTTTAAATTTAATCCAAACTTTGAAAAGATTTCCTTTGTGATTAACCAAAGTCTGTAACCCAAAAATGTTTGAAAGAATTTATGGTGGCTGACCAAAAAAAAAATATCTTCAACTTATCTTTTATCAGAGTAAATACAAATGCCTTCCCACCACCCACATCCCCTCCAGTCGAGATTCTTGTCAGTAACTAATTTAAAAAAAAAATGTTTACCCATTCACTCAATAATGGACAGATAAATTGCCAAAAAAATGCAAACACAGTTATATAACTTGATGGCCTTTTGTTATTGTGAAAAATATTAGATGACATGGCATTGCTATTTGATGAAGGTGAAACATAAAAAAGAAATACCTTAACCTTATACCTATTAACTTCAAACAACACCCAAACCTAAAAGACCATAAGAGACAATTTGGTAAAAGAAAAAACACAAAAAAAACTGTCATTGGAAAAATACAAATGTCCCCCAAGCTGAGCCAATTAAGAGACCATTACCTTGACTTGCATCAAAGGCATGGTTTCTATCTAAAGAGTACATCTATCTGAAGATCATGTAAACAAAGGAATTGTATAAATAGCACAAATCTTGAATTAAAAGGGTCATAACGGAAAAGATAACTGAAAAGATAAAAGATAGAGTAAAACCAATTAAAAGAAATATTAAATGTTACAAATTTGTTGTGGATATTTTACAAACCTGACTCGGAACTGGCCTGATAATATCTCATTCCTAACTCTAGTCCTAAAATAATTTTTCTATTTTCAGTAACAAGAGACCCAATGGGTTCCAAATGCAATCCCAATCGGGCTTTCCAAATATGGTAGCTTAAGCTTGCTAAATAACAAGTTAAATTACAATATCTCAACAACTACTGTTATCATCCAAAAACCATTTTTCTCTTTTTAGTAATAGTGACCTTTGTCACAGGAGGTCCAAAAGCAATCCAAACTAGCTTCTTCATACAAGCTTCATACAAGCTTGTTGTATAACAAGTGTGACTCAGCGCTACCACTGAAATAGAATACCCCCATCAGCAACTTTGACTTTTAAAAAATAAGTGGTCTGAAGAAAAATTTGAACTAAACCTATAGTAAATGAAGAAAGAATTATTTCAATAAATTGCAATACCAAATGGGGTTTTCATATAAGATTAATATACACCAAGTTTGAATACAATATCTCATTCCTAACTTTACTTAATGCACAGAATTTTTCTATTTCTAGTAACAGTGACATTCACCTTAACCCCAGGGGGTCCAAATGCAATACCAACCGGGGTCTTCATATAAGCTTGCTCTATACAAAGGTTGATTACAATATCTCATTCATAACTCTAGTCATTGTCAGAAAAATAAATTCTATTTTTAGTAATAGTGACCTTGACCTATCCAAGGGGGTCCAAAATCTATATCAACCTAAGTTTTCACATCTGCCTGCTATATACCAAGCTGGGTTACAATAATTGATTCCAATTTCCAGTTATCATCCGAAAACCATAAAGGAGACTGACCAATCAACCGAACAATGGACAGCCAACAATCTGACTCCAATATACATCCCTAAACTACATTTGTGGGGGCATAATTATAAACACTTAAGCATACACATTTAAGTAATGTATGCAACTGTTTGTTGAGAAACTTCGAATTAAAACTCAAATAGAACAGTTCTTTAATGAAAAATTTACATGAAAGTAAGTAAAACAATCATATACATCAGATTCATTATTATTTAAAAAAAAAACAAGAGCTGTCGGTAGGACAGCACGCTCGACTATTCTAAGTGCTTGATAGTAAAAGAGCCTTGATAACGTAAAATTGAGAGCTTTGATAATGTTAAATTTTCTAAGTTCACAAAAGGGCTATTTTTTTTTTTGATAAATTCATGTTATAGGCCTTAGAGACAGTCTAATTATACAGTATTGGCTTGACTATTCGGAAGGTAATGTCACAAGGGTGTTTTATTGAGTATAATAATACTAATTACCTATGAATACATACATAAAATTGACAGAAAAGGTACAAAGGCTTGTTATTAAGATGTTTTATCAAGTAAATCACTGCTTTATTATTATGAATGCATATAATTATCCCAAAAAAGGCACACATCCTTCAGTAATTATAGAGATAACAGCTTACAAGCAAAACTTTACCATGAATTTCTAAGTTGAAAAAGGGGAGAAAAATCTAAAACCTAAATGCAAGATAGAATTATGGATCTTTGTCAGTGACCTACAATTATGACCCTAAATGCATATGTGAAGTTTTAAATAAATATCTTTAATAGTTATTGAGATATGTAAAACTTGCATGTAAACATTAACCAAGAGACTAAGTAGAAAAGGGGATATGAATCAGCCTTAATGCAGGATAGAGTTATGGAACTTGGTCAGTGACATAAAATTATGACCCTCAAATTATGACCCTAAGTACATGTGTAAAGTTTCAAGTAAATATCTTTGAAGACCTTTAACCTTTAACCAAAATTTTCTAAGTTTCAAATTTAAGGGGCAAATAGTTCTGCAAATATTGCAGGCAGAGTAATGCAATTTTGCGAACTGATGTACATTGTTACTATAAAAAAGTATTTTAAATTTCAATTGAATATCTCAAGCAATAATTGAGATATTTGACTTTACAAAAAAACTTTAAAGTTAACAAGCAATTATCATAGTATTGCAAGCAATCCATAAGTCCCCTACCGGTAAGAGCCCAAGCAACATTCTGAAGGGCCATTGGCCATTCACTAAGGTTCCTATTTAAAGTAAATTTGTTGAAAAAGTTCTTTAAAAGTAATCTCAGGAAACAGTTTTTATGTACAGACAGACGGACTGAAGGACACTCTAAAGTTATTTTTTAAACATCCCTGATATCAAAATATAACATTTTTAAAATCCTATCATGATTGAAGAAGTTGGAGTAAAAATTACCAATTTCTCAAAAAAAAGTCTAAGTTTCAAAAGGGGCATAATTCTGGAAATAGTCTTGCTAGAGTATTGAACACTCACCAAATGTTGAGTGATAATAAGAAAACATTTATATGAAGTTTGAAGTAGATACATTCCGAAAAAAGAAGTTATTTAAAAAAAAACAATGTTTTTTTCATGAAAATTTTAAGTTCAAGGGAGGTAATTCTGATATATTTTGTGCTAGAGTTTGTAAACCTTGTCACATATGATGTGGTTGATGACAAGCAACTTATATTTAAAGTTTGAAGAAAATACCTTAAGAAATAAAGAACTTATAGTGAAAAAACTTAAAAAACTTAAGAATCAGAAATCTTGAAATTCAGTCTATTTGTTGCCATAGCAACCAGAATTTTCAACATAGGGAAGATAAGAAAAGGATGTGCATTAATTTCCATACTGCCATCTACCCATATGTCAAGTTTCATAAACATATTTTCAGTACTTTTTGTGTTATCACTGGATCCAGGTTATGTGTAAAATTTGCCATATTTTCAGTCTATTTGTTGCCATAGCAACCAGAATTTTCAACATAGGAGAAAAGAAAAAGACGTGCATAATCTCCATACTGCCATCTATCCATATATCAAGTTTTCAATAAAAATATTTTCAGTACTTTTTGCGTAATGGGCGGGATCCAGGTTATGTGTAAAATTTGCCATATTTTTCAGTCTATTTGTTGCCATAGCAACCAGAATTTTCAACATAGGAAGAAAAGAAAAATACGTGCATAATCTCCATACTGCCATCTATCCATATATCAAGTTTCATTAAAATATTTTCAGTACTTTTTGCGTTATCGCGGGATCCAGTTTTGTGGACGGACGGACTGACGGACGGACAGACGGACGGACTGACGGACGGACAGACAGACAGACGGACGGAGGGTAAACCTAAAGTCCCCTCCGGTAAACCGGTAGGGGACATAAAAGGGGCATAATACTGTCAATATTGTAGGCAGAGTTATCCAACTTGTCAATCTGATGTACCTTGTTACTATAAATAAGTATTGTAGGTTTCAATTGAATATCTCAAGAAATAATTGAGATATTTGACTTTACAAAAAACTTTAACCAAAATTTCTAAGTTAAAAAGGGGCATAATTCTGTCAATATTGTAGGCAGAGTTATCCAACTTGTCAATCTGATGTACCTTGTTACTATAAATAAGTATTGTAAGTTTCAATTGAATATCTCAAGCAATAATTGAGATATTTGACTTTACAAAAAACTTTAACCAACGCAGACGCCGACGCTGACGCCGACGCCGGGGCGACTGCAATAGCTCTCATATTCTTCGAATAGTCGAGCTAAAAATGTAGCATGATAAATATATACAACATTGAAATTTAACTTTCATAATATTAAAATGCATTAAAATTATATTTTTAAACATATATGGAAGCAATAATTGATAAACTGTACCTTTTCTGTCCTGCTTTTTATCTTTACCTTTCTTGCCACCTACAATAAAACAAGATGGTGTTTTTTCTTTGTAAACTTTGCTGAAGACCAAAAAAATAAAATTTTCATTCATAAAACCTTTTGTTTTTTGGTGTCTCATTGGCTAGCTGTACCATCTTTTGCATTTTTGACTTAAGTACAGTTCTTGTTAAGTACCGCTTCAAGAACACTTTGCTACTTAAAAATTATTCAGTGCTTCTTTCTTTAAGTGATAATCATCAAGCATTCATTATTAATACAGTAAATCACATGTCTACCCTTTATAAGAAATTGTGAATTTTAAATCTTTTCCAATTTTAAGGGATATCTGACCATGACCAAATTAGAACTTGACTTGTATTTTCTGGTAAAATACCAGCACATGCACTGTCAACCTCAGACATACATTCCTAACATAAGTTAGAGCAGAAACTGAAAAAGTGGCAAAATTCTGTAACAAGAGGGCCATGATGGCCCTGAGGTCGCTCACCTGTATAGCACCCCCCCCCCCCCCCCCCCCCCCCACACACACACACTCATAAGAAGATGTTGTTTCATGCTAAACCATACTAAGCTCTAGCTCATTGGGCTTTTTAAAAGAAGATTTTTTTAAGTTTTTTACTATACACATTATAGTTAAAAAATGACACCCCTGGGGCGGGGGCCAGTTTTGACCCAGGGCTTTTATGAACAAAATTTTGTAGACACTTACTAGAAAGATGTTTCATGCTTAATATCTAAACTCTAGCTATTTGGGTTTTTTTTTTTCAAAGAAGATTTTAAAGTTTTGCTATTACACATATAAGGAAAATCAATGACCCCCGGGGCGGGGCCAATTTTGACCCCAGGGCTTTTATTTGAACAAACTTTGTAGACACTCACTAGAAGATGTTTCATGCTTAAAATCTAAAACTAGCTATTTGGGTATTTCAAAGAAGATTTTTTAAGTTTTTGCTTTACACATATAAGGAAAATCAATGACCCCCGGGGCAGGGCCAATTTTGACCCCAGGGCTTTTATTTGAACAAATTTGGTAGACACCTATAATAGAACATGTATTGATGCTAAATATCTTAGCTCTAGCTCTTTGAGTTCTTTAAAGAAATTTTTTTTAAGTTTTTTACTGTATGCATATATAAGGAAAATCAATGACCCCCCTGGGCAGGGCCAATTTTGAACCCCAGGGCCTTTTAAAATTTTGAAACAAACTTGGTAGAACACTCATTAGAACATGTTTCATGCTCAATATCTTAGCTCTAGCTCTTTGGTTCTTTAAAGAAGATTTTTTTAAGTTTTTACTATATGCATTATAGGGAAAATCAAGACCCCCTGGGGCGGGGGCCAATTTTGACCCCAGGCTTTTATTTGAAAATCAAACTTGTAGACCACTCACTAGAAGATGATTCATGCCAAATATCTAAGCTCTAGCTCTTAGTATTTTTTTTTTTTTGGTTTTTAAAAGAAGATATTTAAAGTTTTTTCTTTCGGTTGCCATGGCAACCAGAGTTCTGCATGGAATTAAATTCTTTGAACAATTTTTAAAGGTGACCACCAAAGGAACATTCCTGTGAAGTTTGGATGAAATTGGCCTAGTGGTTTATGAGGAGATGTCATTTAAAGTAAAAGTTTACGGACGACGGACGGACGACGGACGCCGGACGAAAAGCGATCACAAAAGCTCACACTGTCACTTTGTGACAGATGAGCTAAAAATACTTGATAGAGCTACCTCCTCTTGTGTACAGTTTTGGGGCATGATGGTGAACTTTCTATGGAATATGAAAATATTTGGGATGATACACAAATTTTAACGTAAATTAAACATAAACTTTAACGTAAAGTTGAAAATGGGGCATAATTCAGTCAAAATGCTTGGAACAGTGACTTCCTTCTGTTTACAGATTGGAGGCATAATGGTGAACAAATTTGCAAAGTTTCAAAGCAAGATGTCAATGGACTTCGAAAATATTTGAAGTGGTACGCAAAATTAAACCAATTGGTTACGTTGAGGGCAATGATCCACTGACTAGGATAGCTCTCCTTATTCTTCCAATAGTCATGCTAAAAATAGATAAGGTACACAGAATTCACCCAGGTAAATGCACAAATAACTATAAATGTGTCAATAGGACACGGGTGCCCCCACCGCGCCAGTGTTCTGTCAATCTTATGACTCTAGGTCAAATATTTTTTGAAAAACTAAAAATCTTTTACTAAGTAAAAGGCAAGGACTTCACAAATACTGAATAAATCCACAAGCAAACCCAAAGGTTGCATAACGTACACATGCTGCACCAACATACTCGTAAAACTTTTCAGGCCCCAACAGTGAACTACTTTTTGAGCTATGCAATGAACAAGTTGAAAATTGCATTTATTAACTACTCGTAAGTCAAGGGCAATAACGCTACAAATACTGGCTAAATCCGACGAGCGAACCCCACGGTGCCTACACTAAAATATGTTGAGCAACCTTCCGTTAAGTTAATGACTCTGTTATAGCACTGACGCTCTATGTCAAATCCTTTAGAGTTTACATGTGACACAGTGAAAATTGCGAAAATTGACGTAAGTCCAAAGGCCATAATTAATACTAATATATCCAGCGAAAATACCTAGGTGCCACAACAAATATGACTGATCAAATTCCCCTGTAAGTTTCATGACTCATAGGTAAAATATTTTTTGAGTTACATGCGACACAAGTCTGAAAATCTTGCATAATATTACTAGTCAAGGCAATAACTCTAAAAATACTCGAAAAATCCAAGATACCCAAGGTGCAACAATAACATGTTGATCACATCCTGTAAAGTTCATGATCTAGTTAATTAAATGCGACAAAGTTTGAAAAATTGCCAAAATTCTTAATTACAGTCAAGGGCACATAACTCTAAAAATTGAAAAAACTATCCAGATGAAATAACCAGGTGCACAACTACACCTGCGATTCAACATTGCTTGTAAAGTTTTCAGTGCTCTAGTCAAAATACTTTTGAGGTACAAGTTTTAAAAATGCAAAATTTTACTAAGTCAAGAGGCAATAATCTTTAAAATCTACAGAGGCCATGATGGCCTGAGTCGCTCCACCAAGAAACACGGCTTGTACAGTGTGGAAATTTTTTTTAAAAGATTTGCTGAAAGCAAGTTCTGCTCTTTCGGCAAGCAATTAAACTTAACTTCCCTTGTAATATACTTTCACACTGATTTTTCTAGCTGTTTTTTTCATAAATAAAAAAATAGGACTAGTGGCCTAGATCCTCATCTAAACCATCATTCATATTCACTATATTAAAAATGAAATATTTGCACCTAATATTTGAAAAAGCCCTGTTAAACATATGATGTTGCAAGTGTGTTCCTGAGACTTTGAAAGAATAAATGCAGACAAAATGACACTGGAGCAAGCATTTAATTTGACTAAACATATTTTTATAACTTTTTTTAATGAAACACAAAATGTCACATGAAAGCATGTATAAAAATTTAAACAGCAACTAGAAATGTGTCCATAGGACACGGAATGCCCCACACGCATGTTCTGTCAATCTTATACTCTAGGCCAACATATTTTTTGGACTACTGTGCCAAAGTTGAAAATTAAAATCAACAAAGGTCCATATTTGTTAATTTGTCGCAGAAAAATTACTTCTTAGACCACTACACATTAAAGTGTTATCCTGGGAAGTTTTAAGCATCTGCATCCGTTAGAGTTCGTTCAGAAAATCTCTATCATAGTAGCGATAGTGCAAAAAATCATAACAAAGGCCATAATTCAGTTCTAAATTTTCTCGCAGCAAAATTCCTTCTTTAGTACCATCTTTACAAATTAAGTGTTGCGATCCCTGTAAGTTTAAGCAAAATCGTCGCCCATCGGATTAAAGAAGAGTTGCACTTCACAAAAAATTCTCTACATAGAATAGTGAAAAAAATCACAAAGGCCATAATTCGTTAATCGGTCGTAGTATAATGTCCTGTATGCCATTTACAAGTTAGTTTTTCCTGGAAGTTTAAGCAAAATCTTGCCATCTTGGTTTAAGAGGGTTTGCGTTCAAAAATTTCTACATAGTATATAATGAAAAATCAACAAAAAGGGATAATTCTGTTAAATTGGTCGCTCCCCAGCAAATCTTCCTTTACCAGCTACACTTAGGTGTTCATCCTTAAGTTAAGGCAAAAATCTGCCATCTGTTTAAGAGAGGGCGTTCACAAAAAATTTCACATCATAAGTAATAGTGAAAAAATCAACAACAGCGGCCAAAATTCTGGTTAATTTGGCGCCAGCAAATTCCTTACCTTTACTTTGCCATCTTACACCTTAAGGTGTTCATCGCCTGTAAGTGAAGCAAAATCTGCCATCGTGTTTAAAGGAGTTGCATTCACAAATTATCTACATAGTATGTAGTGAAAAAAAATCAACAAAGCGGCCGATAAATTCGGTTAAATTGCTCGCCGCCAAATCCTTCCTTACTACTTTACATAAGGTGTTATCCCTGTAAGTTTAAGCAAATCTGCCATCCGGTTTAGAGAGTTTGCGTTCACAATTTCGACGTACGGACTGAGGACGACAGACTGACGGACGAGGCAAGCTGCAACGTTATTGCTCCACATTGTGGGGCCTAAAAATTAACATTAATCCTGGTCAATTTCAAGATTGTAATAAAAGAAAGAGTAGGTAAATGATATCATTATTATCAAAAGTACGGCCAGTTCATATCAAAAATTCAAATCAGATTCAGAAAATGAAAACCCCTTGTCCAAATTTTCAGCAGGGTACACAAAAAACACAAATAGTCCAAAACAAATATCAAAATACAATATCAAAGTTAGTCAGTTTTATATCTTAATACATTCAGCATCAGAAGATTACATTCCTGGTCCAACAATTTCAAGTCTTTCCTATACACCAAAACAAGAAAGTATCTGCAATGGTTCAAAAAATATCAAAAAACAGTTCACTTGATACAAAATTCAATTATTGCACATGAACTCAGGTCAACAGTTCTGTTCCAAAATTTATTGAAATTTGCTTTTCAAGTTTATCCCATTCAAAAAAAAAATGAAAAAAAAACACATTTTAATAACCCAAAATTGTTATCCTGTACCTTGAACTACAATGACTAAAATGATCTTTGTAGTCAGGCGGAGAAACAATTTAATGTTTTTTAGCCAATTTTTTTTCCTGGTAATGACTACAACGGCCTTACAAGATCAATACTGATGTCAATTCTAGTTAAAAACTTACACATCATAAACAGGTCATGGACATAAGACTTTTCTCCAAAGCCATTGAACCTCTTATTGAAAAAATTGAAATAACCATAATCATATCTCTAAAACCAAAAATAAAATAAAAAAATATTTTTTTTTTTAATGAATTTATAAAAAATCTTAACTATACTGTGACCTCCTTAGTAATTGAAACAATTAACATATCTTCTTCGTGTGAGTCAAAAACACTGTTTTTTATATCTATAAAAGACTGTGTGATCCATTTCAATATTTTTTATATTAATTTGAGCGATAGATATCTTAACTTATAATTTGAAGAATGCTGACCACCCAACCCCCCTTTGTGAATTAAAGTAAATGCAAAACAGGAGTCAATCAAATTACAAATGACTTAAAGATCAAACTGATACACAGACTTCCAAGATTGCTACAGACAAGTTTGGGATCAATCCATCAATAAGTCCTATAGAAACAGACTAAAGTTATTTCGTATTTTAGCTATAGCGGCCCCTAAAAGGGCCAATCAAATTATATGAGCAAACTTATAAAAGACTACCCAGACATTCTACAGACAAAGCTTTGTGATGCCTACCACCATTAGTTCTGTAGAGAAGATGTAAAGTTTTTTTTTCTATTTTAGCCCTAGAGACCCCTACAAGGGGCAATCAATTAATATGAGCACTTTAAAAACTACCAAGAAGCACAGACAGGTTGTCATCCATCATTTAGTTGCTGTAAAGAAATTTAAGTTTTCTATTTTTAACTGTTGACCCTAAGGGGCCATTGGATGACAGGCAATCAGAGTGCTTCACAGGGTTGCTACAGACAAATTTGAAGTTAAAATCTGCCCAGTAATTCAGAGAAAGAAGACATTGTGAAGCATGACGCGGGCGCACGGAGCAATCCCCTTTGAACTAATAGGCCACTCTGAGCCTTTGCTCTCCTGAGCCTAAAAATATCCAGACGAAAACCAGTAACCACAGCACTCCACATGCTGATAAACATCCTGTAAATTTCCATGATCTAAGTCATAACTTTGTGTTACGTGCACACCAAAAGAGAACGGACCCCGAAACCGGACGCGACACATCCCGGACCCGCGCTCGAACCTCTCTCGCACTCGCGCAGAACGAAGACGGAAATCTCCCGTCACTAAGTGGGGCACCAAAAATTAGAATTGTCAGGGGCTTTTGAGTTAATGACAGTTTTATTGGTTTTAAAGTGACATATTGACATTGAAAATGAAAATGGCAGGTTAGAACTTTAAACATTAAGTGCCCAAAATGTACAAGGGGTAATTGCACTCTAAGGTATATGGCCAGTTTAAATTACATGATTTTGAGCCAGAAACAACTATGGATCTGGTACTTGATCGACGCTTGGAAAGGTTTTGATTATATATATGAATTCTTGGCAGAGTCTTGGGCCTGTGAGCCCAGACAAGATTTTTGTTTCATCTCGCACCGATAGTATGGTGGCCATTTGTACAAACTAAGCAAAACTGTGCCAGTGATGTTGCAAACACTACGGATCTTACTAATCACTCCTGTAAATGTGTATACTTGAATCCCCCCCCCCCAGTTTTTGCCCTGTTAGGCCGGACAAGATATCTATTACTTCTAGCTGTGGCTGCCATTTTGTACAGCCAGCGAATGGTGGTGATTGGACAATAGGTAATGGTTGTAAATGTGGTTTGAAATCCAAGCTAATGTGGACAGACAGAATGATGTTCTTCACAAATGACATTATTGGTATTTATTTGCTTATAAAAGTAAATCAATCCAATTAGAACATAAAGTAGCCCTCAACAACTGATGGAAAATGAATTAAATTACTGTTACCGTCATTGCTTCTTGTTAACCCTAACAAGTGTCCCATTGTACGCCTGGGACCAGACAGACATGGCTAAGGCAAAAAACAATATGTCTCCCAAAATTTGGGAAACAGGAATTCTTCCACAAAACAGTCTTACACAACAAATTCACACTTAACACCTGGAAGTGTTTTGAATATTTATTTTCCATATTTCAAATCTCAATACACAGTTTTTATTCCCTACATTTTACAATTTTTAACTAATACAAGCTACTGTTCCTGCTTGTGTACATGTAAGAGGTGATAAAAATTATGGGGTGTTTATATCTGTGTCAAATTGAACGATAACAAACCCGTTGTCAGTTCCTCTTGAATTTTGCATATTTAATTAATTGTGGAAAATTTTTGGGTCTATTTCTAGAACATTTTTGATGTGGCAGAATAGTAGGCATTAATCAAAATTTAAACATTCCTAATATTTTCAACATTCTTATCAGAGCCCTATGACTTTCAAACCTCATTGAAGAGAAATTTTTCTTTGGGCAACTTTTAGAAACCTCAATGATTAAGGCCAAACAAAAACACTTCACAAACCTTTGTCATTTTATGTCTTTATTATCACCATCTTTTTTTCTGATTCATTCTTTCTGGAAAATAAAAGAAAAATTAATTCTTAATGCCCTTCTATTTTTTCTTTTGCATGGTTAATTTTATAAATAATAAAGTGAACAAAAATAGTTAAACATAAACTTAATATTAGATTGATTGGACCAATCCCCAGTACCCCTAAAGGCCAGAGAGACAAAACATGCTTTGTAGTCTGCTGTGAGACCAACTTATAATATATCTAATAAAGAAACTAAAACTACATATACATTTAATGAAGTGTGTTAGAATATAAGCTGATTTGTGAACAAATAGAATGCTGTGGGTGCATACTAGCCGCACTTATTTTAGTTGATTGCCATTCTCTCTAAGCGAGCCAAAAATTTAATGTGAAATAATCAAAAAGGTTGCGCTAGTATGAACCCATCGGTCGAGGTTAGTGGTGTACTTCTTATAGATCCTACTTCTGATAATGTTCCTATTCTCTGTATATACTTTAGTGGCAATCAAACGCAGTAACGGCGTGATTCAACATGACCAGTTTGTGATTGATAGCTAGATGAACCTCACTACGTTCTTTTTGCTCCGATGCGCTCTAAGAAGTATGCGTCAATCACAAAAAGATCCCATCTTTCCGGCTTCGAATATCGATACACCCACCAGGGCCAGCAACAGACTTTTGCGATAACTCGTGTGGACTAATATAGAAGTCCGATGTCGACTCTCCTATATCACAACAATCCGACATCTTACAGAAAGGCAGGTGAGCAATACTTATGGCTATACGCCTCCGAAGATTTTTTAATATCCTCAGCGTCCTCTTCACACCCTAATAAATGAGACGCGCTCATATCTAGCTACCTCTGCACCACAGTGAAAGTAATAGTAAATACGTGAATAAAAACAAAATATATTTAATTTCTAAAATTGAGAAATTTCAGTTCGTATTTGTAATCCTCTATTTATTTCGATATGGATTATTGTCCCACGAAATAAAGCCCGTCTCTAACACTTAAAATGGTGATAACAATTATAACTTCTTGCCCTCGAGTACCAGAATAAATCACCAAATATAAACATTTAGTTACTAAATCATATTAATATAAATATATATCTATACTTAATACATATACGCATAATGTACCACCCTCCAAAAATGTATAACTTCGATACCTTATTCTACATGCAAAACCTAACAATACTATACATATATTCTCCATTCAATATATAACAAGTTTAAAAAACATTTTTCCTAGGACTTATAATAACTGTATAAAATAACAAACTGTTATACTTGATATTTATAGTTCACTAATTATTACTGAATGCAGTATTAGGAATAGACAAATAGCTATCTCCACCTCACACAAAAACAGGAATTTGATCATCACGTAGGTACGTAAATTAATCGCCTATCAGCAAGTTTTTATCACAAGCTATACTTGCTAAATCATGAAATTTATATAAGAGAAAAGAAATAAACCGGATATAAGTTGAACTTACATGGGTCTGTTTCGATAATATACACTCTGAGTGATATGAAATAATCATGTTGCTGGAATCTTTTACAAAAAAGTTAGGAATTAAGAGAGATTTGTGGAAACTTTACACAACTTATATTAGGATAGCTCTAATGGTCTATAGAAGAATCGCGACTAACACCACCTCTTATAGTATGTGGGTAAATGGTTATCATAAATAAATTTAAGTTTAATACTACTTCATGTAGTAGTCGTCATGTTTCACAAGTATTTAGTGGTCAATGATTTGTTTACCCTCTTTCAATAATCTATGTTAAGGTGAGACACTAATTAATTAATAATATCACTTTAATTCTATACTAAGTGATGTATAATAGTTGTGGACTTAGCACTATGCTGCACAATAAATTGATGTTGTAGTTATATGGAACATGCTTACATCACATCATACATTTACATAATACCTATGTAATTCTGGGAGGTCACACTTGTATGTATATACAATAGAATTCAACACATATTCTCTTAGACTTCTAAAAAACTATGTATCAACCTAAATTGTGTTAGTACCTGATACACAATGGTGGTGTTAATTTGCTATTGTGATAGCGCTTGAGGCCTTCAAAGATATACAGGTGATCAACTAGAGACTTATTCTTGACTTTTCCAAAGTTATTAAACAGTTGGCATCAAGGCCCTGAGCGTCGCCTCACCTTGTAGATAGGCCCCCGGAGCGGGCCAGGTTAAACCCCAGGCTTTATTTGACAAACTTGGAAGACCTTCATTTAGAAGAGTGTTTACAACCATGTTAAAAGTTTTTAGCTTTCAACTGTAATGAGAAACATGATCCCAACTGGCGCCCCCCCCCCCCCCTCGCAGGATCGGCCATTTTTCCCCACACCCCTTTTAATTTGAACAAACTCAAACTTGGTTAGACAGCCATAAGAAGAATATTTCATGCCCAAAACCATTTACAGCTCGTAGGGGCCTCATTGGGTTTTAAAGAGATTTTTTAGAGTTTTTACCTACACAGGGCATATAGTTAATAAAACAATGACACCCCTGGGGCGGCATTTTGTACCCATGGCTTTAAATTGACACAAACTTATGGAGACACTTACCTAAGAGATTATCATGGCTTGAATATCGTAAACGTGCTAGCTATCTTGGGTCTTTTCAAAGAAGATTTTTAAAGTTTTTACTATATGACATATAGGCAAAATCAATGGGAACCCCGGGGCCAATTTGGACCCCAGGGCTATTATCTTGAACCAAAACTTTGTTAGACACTCAACTAGAAGTGTTCATGATTAATAATCTAAATCTAGCTATTGGTTTTTTTCAAAGAAGATTATTTAAGTGTTTGTTACAACATAAAAAGGAAAAATAAAAAATAACCCCCCGAACAGGGGCCAAATTTTGAACCAGGCGCTTTTATAATTGAAAAACAGAAACCTTGGTAGACACTTCACGGAAAGAAAAGTTTCATACTGAATAATCTAAATAAATTGACACACAAGATTATACATATCATGCACTATTAGGGGGGAAAATCTCAATGCGACCCCCTGCGGGCGGGCAACTTCTTCCACCCCAGGGCTCTTTATCTCGACACAAAACTTGCTAGACGCTATTAGAACCTTTTCATGTGCACATGAATTATCTAGCTCTAGCTCTTAGGTCTTAGGAGATTGTTTAAAGTTATTCACTATATGCATATAAGGAATCCCCAATAGACCCCGCCTTGGGCGGGGCCCAATTTTGACCCAGGATTTTATTTTGAAACAACTTTGGTGACACTCAACTACAGTATTCTATCGCCAAAACTCATGTGAGAGAGTCTCTTAGTCTGTGGGTTTGTTAAAGAATGATTTAATAGTTTTTTCTTTTTCGGTTGCATTCGGCAACCCCAGAGTCCCTGCCATTGGAAAATAAATTTCCCTAAGTATTGAAACCAATTTTTAAAGGTGACACCCCCCAAAGGAACATTCCTGACTGAAGTTTGGTAATGGAAAAAATGGACTTTATTGGTTTCATGAGAGATTGTTTCATTCTAAGACGTAAACAAGTACCTCGTTCACCAAATTTAATTACGGCACGAGCAACCTGATCAAACGAGTACCACCACCAGAGATATGGAATAAGTCTCACTACACAAGAAGCAATCATACCTTTTTACCCTAACATATTTGTTTCTAACTATTGCGAGAATGTAACTAAAATTAAAAATCACATTTATTTTCATGTGTTAAATATAAAAGTAACCGTTTAGTAACTCTTGCATAGCACATGAAAATTCTTTTGATAAAAGTAGGGTGAAACGTTACTGTCAGTGAACCCGATAGGTACTTGAATCGAAGAATGATTCCATTATAGCGCACTGCCAAATATATGCTCCTTCTCGTAAACATAATTGATCTTGCGTGTGAAAAGGCCGAAGTTTATTGTGATTTAATTAAACTAGACTTATCTTATATTGGAAACAACTCATTACCTATGACATGCCCCAAAGACTGTACCGGAGTATTGATTGTGTTATAAGAATAATGTATCCGCTTTAGCGTAACGAACTAAGTACCCCTTATGCAAGAAGAAACTAATTAAGTGCAATGAGCCTACCCACAGTCAATGCTGTCTCAGGGGACAGTGGTATTTAAGCACAGTCTTCCCGAAAGCAGTCGCGCGCTTGAATTTTAATCGAACAAAGCCTCGGTACCCTCTATAACCACTTGTCAAATTTTTTAATAATATCTACCTACGGGCTAGTAAGGCCCTAAATATAATTGATCACGTCCCAATAACCTCAACAATAAAAGTAGAGTGTACGACCAAATAACTATGATGGTAATGACTCTAAATTTACTGTTATACAACAACTGTATCTTTTCTACAATTTCGGGAGGTTTTGAACTCCATTGATCAGAAAATGAGCAGTTAGAGTCATTAACTAGTTTTTATAAAGTGAAACGAATTATAAAATTGTCTATTAATGATCTATGTCGTAAATATCTACTTAGGTCATTACGTGATTATCTCTGCCGTGAAGAATTCTACTCTCGTAATGTGCTTAACTGCAGCATAACCAACTTACGTTCTTGAATACCGTAGTGGAGATTTTATATGTTCCTCTCCAAATTCAGTACTTTATAGTTTCAGAAACTATCAAAATACAGTTTGATTGTGGCCTTGACCCTTTCTAACTGTGTCTCAGGGTTCCTTGGCTTTCGTTATTGAAAAGGAAAATCAAATCTGGTGAATTAATAAACAATGTTTTTACATGCATTTATAGGAACAATATTATTTCAGCACAGGATTATATAATCAATTAATACTTATTTGGACCTATATGAAACACAAAATCTCACACAACGTCTCGGGAAATGTAAATAGAATGAATGCATTTGTATCCCACCTCGAGGACGAACCAAGTTAAACGCTACCCACTAAGTCGTTATCTATGACAGTTGTACTTAATACTTGTAAAAATAATATTGCTGACTGTCAAAAACAAAGTAAGGAGCACGAAAAATTAAGCCTTCTCAAATAAAACAGCCACCATAAATCACCACCAGTTGTCCCTGCCAATATACAAACATCTATGATTTCTTATGTTTCTCATGCGGAAACAAAGAAATATTTCGGTATGTTCAGCCATCCCATCATAAGTAAGTGGAGCAGCGAAAATTTAGTCGTTCAAATTATTGTATAGTTTGTCATATTTTTACCTTGTGATTATAAGCCTTGAAATCTGTAGTTACAAAAAATATACTAAAATAATGCGGCCCGAAAACGAGTATACTCGTCCACACTTACCTAGGTTCTCGTAGAATCCTTGGAACTACCTCAATCTAAGCAACGCAGATCGAGAGTTTAGGCGGCACGACAGATCTAGTTAGTTATTTCTCTCTCTCCTATTTGCTGGTGATTCATTTTCTCTGAATAAGTAGTGGTTATAAATATTGAACTATATAAAACAAGAATTAAAAAGGACCTACCAATGCACAGAGGGATATTTATTTCATGCTTGCAAAAATCATATCTCTCGCATTAGTATGATCCTACCATTTCCAAAGGGGTATAGCCGGAAGTTGACCCCTGAAAGTTAGTGTATGCCCGACAAGTCCGAATGCTCGCATTACGGATCTGTTTCCACTTGTTTGGGAATAAGCGTGATTAAAGTCTCTCAGAATTATCAGAGATTAAATCTGAAGGAAAATTATATGATTGGGGCAGCAATTTTAAAGTAAAAATTTAAGCTGGCATGAGG